AAGCAGAATGAGCTGTCTTACGATGTATTTTGTTAAAATTGCTTTTTTATGATTATGGGCAGAGCTTTATTTGTTTTTTTGCTCTGTTATAACAGATTGTGTGCAATCTTATCTTTTTCTCCATAGGCTTCACCTGGCCTGCAAGACATTCTTAGGTTTGCAGCTTAAATGAAGCACTTTAGCACTACGCAAGTTTATAAATGTACTTTAAACCTTCCCGAAAAAGACACCCCAAATCATTAACTTTTCTGCTCAGTGACCTGTTCTCAGCTTTGTTTATTTACTAGAAAAACCAAGAACAAACAGTGACTGCATTCTGACATTGTGTATTTACTTTACCAAAATAAACTCCAGGCGAATTCATAATCTGGAGATAAATGTGCAAATAACAGCTTGTTTGGTTTGGATGCAAAGATGGCTGGACTACTTTTGCATAGCTGGCCAAAGTCTTTGTGAGCTAATATATCAAAACTCCCCGTGAAAGGTCTTTTATGACTTCTGGGATGACTGCAGCAGTAATACTTGCTGCCTTTGAAAACCAGAAGGCCACAACCCTACCCTTTAGATTGTATGCTCAGATCACGTGTACAAGTTTTTTGTATGTACAAATCGTACAGTCTGGGCAACGGAAGGTCATGGCTGTGTACAGTCAGCATAACCTCGCCAGTGTCCTGGCAGAACATGGTTGTGTTGTGAATTGACGTGGCACAGAATTTGTGCTCTGCCCATGTCTCTGTCCCTATTTTGGCTGCTCTGCCTCTGCATTTTCTCTGGCAGAGCAGCTGTGTTGATGGTGTATCCCTACAGCACGTTGGAGACTTCTGATCTGCTGGTAGAATATATTGTGTTCCGCTGCCGGGCTTCTGCTGAGATCCTAGAACTCTTCGGCTGATGCAAACTCAAGGATAAGATTGCACTCTGATATTTTATTTGCATCAGTTTTAAATTCACCCTTTCTGTGTGGAGATTTGAAAAGACGATTCTGCCGGCAAAATTTCAAAATACGGTATACATTTTGGAATGAATACTCTTCTTTCAAAACAAAATGTTAAGTGTAAATACAATATTATAAACTTGAAATTGGTCTTGGATAATGGAATAGTTTTGCATTAACAGTTTCTTTTCAGTTCAGTTGTAACAGGAGGAAGAATGAAATCTTGCTTGCTAACATTCTGTCGATTCAGTGAAATGCAGACTGTGTTCTTAGCCTTATAAGAAACCAAGTGTTTACACTAGCAATGAATGCTCCCTCTTCGCTGCTGCCTCCTCCTCCTTTTTCTTCTTCTTCCTTTTTCACATGCTGTTTACTTTCAGAGCCCTGGCTTATGTTTGCGGTTTTCCATTTTCTGTCAAGCTGCATTGGTAGAGATAAAAGCGATCTTCGTTCTGCAAGTTGTCTTATATCTGTTTTACGGACTATCTGCCCTTTTCAGATATGTAGCTGCGGAAAACACTTCGGGCCACTCAGGGCAAAATAAACTAACATGAAAAGGTCTTGTGTTTTTCAACTTAGTGTTCAAGAACATAGGTTCTTCATGGTGGTGAAACGATATTTTCTCATTATGATTTGACAATATGCCAGTAACAAAATATGCAATAATTTACTGACCAGTGAAGTTAAAAAATAAAAAAATTCTTCAGTTCTTTGGGCAATTTATTTTCACCACCATTTAAAGGAAAGGTAGGGGAAGGGATATTTTGACTATGTTTGAAGTAGTAGTTCTTTTTAAGGATAACTCTGGTTTTGTTTCGTTTTAAAATATTTTTATTAACCAATTTTCACATAACAATTTGTCAGTCCTCTTAATAAATTACATTATTTCCTCCCCTTTCCCCCCCTCAACCCTCCCTCTCCCCCTCACCAAGGTCTTCCCTCAGCTCCCCTCCCTGATTTCTTTACATATATTGTTTTCTGCATGTTGTAAAATTGCACGTATCCTTACTTTATCTATCATATGTTCAGCTAATGAATTTGTGAATGTTTATTCAAAACCTGCCACAGAGTCCAGTTCATTTTCTTGTCTTTTTAGATAGTTTGTAAAAAAGTTCCCAAAAGGGACGCGGGTGGCGCTGTGGGTAAAAGCCTCAGCGCCTAGGGCTTGCCGATCAAAAGGTCGGCGGTTCGAATCCCCGCGGCGGGGTGCGCTCCCGTTGCTCGGTCCCAGCACCTGCCAACCTAGCAGTTCGAAAGCACCTCCGAGTGCAAGTAGATAAATAGGGACCGCTTACTGGCGGGAAGGTAAACGGCGTCTCCGTGTGCGGCTCTGGCTCGCCAGAGCAGCGATGTCACGCTGGCCACGTGACCCGCAAGTGTCTCCGGACAGCGCTGGCCCCCGGCCTCTTGAGTGAGATGGGCGCACAACCCTAGAGTCTGTCAAGACTGGCCCGTACGGGCAGGGGTACCTTTACCTTTAAAAAAGTTCCCATTCTTCCTTGAAGTCACTGTTGTCCTTTTCCCGCAGCCAATTCCACATAGCTCATCAATTTTTCTTGCCACAGTTCTTTCGTTGGGATTTCCTCGTTCTTCCATCGTTGTGCTAACAAAACTCTTGCCGCTGTTGTAGCATGCATAAATAAGTTCTTTACTTTTATTGGCAGGTCTTGTCCTACAATAGGATAACTCTGGTTTTTATTTAGTTTCTTGTGGCAGTCCTCTTCTTCTTCTTCTTCTTCTTCTTCTTCTTCTTCTTCTTCTTCTTCTTCCACTCACACAAAACTCAGCCCCTGCTCTGCCTATGTAAGCCCTGCCATCGGTTCTGATAGCTGAATGGAACCATATTCCGAGGGAATATGAGATGCTTGGGAACATTGGTGAATCTTGTTCTGCCCCCACCTCCGTGCTTGCAGTGTTTCTGCCGCTTAAATACTGAACTAACCCGTCCCCCCGTTAAATATAGTTTAGGCAATATTGTAGTGAGCTCACTAAATCATCATGCTGTTATAAGCACCAAGATGCTACTCCATTTCACAGCTTCATAGAACTCCTGAAGTTTACGTTGCAAATGCCTCAAACTTTGGCAAATTGCTCAGTATCTGACTATTCAGATGTAGTTTAGTTGCTTAACCATTCTTTTGAGAACTCAAATACTGATTGAAGGGAAGATTTGAGTACAATATATATGTATCATATCAGTTTATGAAGGATGTACACTGGTTTTTAACGTGGCTTATTTACTTTTCTAAAGAACACAAAAGCAGAAGCCTAATCCTTTCCTGCGTGCTTCTGTAGTTTATAAGGAAGGAGGTCAGTAAGAGCTGTTCGACAGTGGAATTTGCTGCCAAGGAGTGTGGTGGAGTCTCCAACTTTGGAGGTCTTTAAGCAGAGGCTTGACAACCATATGTCAGGAGTGCTCTGATGGTGTTTCCTGCTTGGCAGGGGGTTGGACTCGATGGCCCTTGTGGTCTCTTCCAACTCTATGATTCTATGATTCTAGGTCTTTGTTAAAATGACAAAGTGAGCCTGCCAGAAATCCCTACTCGAATTATTTAAATTAAATTTCCCTTTGATAGTTTCACTTATTTTGAATCCTACAGATTTATCCCATTAGACATAAAAAATATCTCCAGATTTCAAGAAAGAGCAGTCAGGGAAATGTGTTGACCTTTGGGATGGTATATAGACTCTCCAAAAGAATTACAAAAACGTAAGATAATGCTAGAGCACGATTGCAATCTTAGTTTAACCCACTTATCAAGTTATAGCACTTTAATTGAATGTCCTTTTCCTGAAGATCTGCTTTTAACCGTTTCTTTGCGGGTTTTTCTTTTTGTTTTGTTTTTTTACGTTTGCGCAACTAATGTCTTGAGGATTAAGATTCTTGTTGAAAGATGAATTTGGAAGTTTTCGGGGGGGGGAGACTACAAATCATTTCTCTGTGCTTTCTGAGGGAAATAAGAAAAGCTGATATCAAAGGGAAAATGTTTCCTTGGTCCCAGGATTAAATCACAGTGGTGAGGATGATGATGATGATGATGATAATAATAATAATAATAATAATAATAATAATAATAATGTGTACAACTAAATAATCAGGATTTTGCCAGCTTTGAAAACAACAGAAAGCATAGCTTAGTATGTTATGTAGTAATAAAGAATACAGAAACACATTTCAATGACTTTGTAAAAGTTCTTTTGGGGTTTTTCGGGGTATGTGTGTGTTTGTTTTTTGCAATAGAGTTGTCTAATTTGAGGAAGTTAAGCCAAAGAGGATCTAAACCTGGGTGCTATTTTTGTCTGGGCTACCTTTTTAATGCAGAAATGAAACTTCTGAATCTGGAAATTTTGTTAAGTAGAACGAGCTTGTTCAGGAAGTGGAGAATAAGAATTCCCTTAACTTTCCGCAAGTTGGCACGACCAGAGCCTGCACCTCTTCAACAAACAGCAGTGGTCTGTCCTGGTTTGTTTTACCATTTCTCCACCATGACTTTCAGAAGTTGCTTCCACAGCATTGTGGGATGAGAGTTCTAGAACAGATTCTAAAAGAAGACACTGTTTCCACTAAGTGGTTTCAGAAAGCCACTTCAGGATTTGAATGGATGGTATTAAGCAATGCCTTCAACCGTGCTCTCTGTTTGCTTGTATAATTCTTGAATTTTTGAAAACAAGTGGGTGATGTCAGGTTTTCAACATTGCAGTGTATCGCCAGCCAAACATTGCAGCGAGATTCTGGGTGAAACTGCCGCAGCTCTCATTGTGGGAGCTGAGGTGCTTTCGTCCCAGCACCTTGCGGGCTGTGGCCAATACAGCTGGCCCCAGCGTGCTGCTCATCCGGGGGGCAGAAAGCCTTGTGCTAGTCCCTAATTGTCTCCCTACCTCACAGGGTTGTTGTGAGGTTGAAACTTCGGGGGGGGGGGGAGAAGGAGTTTTGGAGCTCGTTGTAGAGAAAGGCCGGGGGGGTAGAATCCCCAAATCTTCACTGTCATTCCAAATCAATGCAACGTACTCTATATCTTCTTTAAAAAATCTAACTGACATTTTTTTCTTTGTGGATTTCTTTCAGGCCAAAGCTGTGAACCTTAGAATGTCATGATGGCTTGCCTTACGGTGACAGAAATGGAAGGCCCGGCCTCATCTACTCTTCACCAGAATGGTGGCGTCCTTGGGAATGCGGCTGTTTCCATGCACACAGAGCCACTGCTTCGAGTTTACTTGTATCATTCCCAAGGAAAGATGGACGGCGATTATCTACAGTTTCCAGCAGGAGAGTACGTTGCAGAAGAGATCTGTGTTGCTGCTTGTAAAGCCTGTGGTAAGATCACACACCCTGTTTTCTGACCGACGGAACCGTTTCAGCCTCACTTTTCTGGGATTTGGCAAGAAAACACAGTTCAGAATGGCACTTTGTGGCTCAGACAGCCCTAGCAATGTTCCTTCAGTGCTTTGCAATCAAATGTTTGAAGGAGTGTCCCAGGGGCTGTTGGAACAGCTGTGTACTGCACCTCGAAGCCTTGACAGCTGAGGCTTCAGAGAGCAGTTCTGGGAGGGAGAAGTGGTTTGATGGGAGTGTGCTTGCTCCAGCACAGGAACGGTCGTTTAAGTTCCAGATTGTTCCTTTGCAGCCCCACCCTTACCCACATCTGAAACCCCCAAGTTTGACCCACAGCCTGGAGGTTCACCCATGATTTAGTGTCATGCGAATGAGTCTTGGGCTCCCCCTCTTCTTCCCCCCATTAACTGCTGTTTAGAATTGCCAGAACACTAAACTGTACTCACTCTTAACTACTATTGAAACAAGCCAGCTTCATGAAACATAGCTCTAAATAAAGCATAGTTAAGGCTAACTGGGTTGTCCACGTTTGGACATAACTCAAACCTGAACTTAGTTGCTATGGTCTCCTTCTGACTAGAGGGGGAGCATACTTCACATAATGCTGGCACGTTCACATAATGCTCAACCATAGTTTAACATTTCACCTAAACAAGGCTTTTGTTGGTGTGAGGAAAAGAACGGAACCTGCGGCTGGTGCTCACACCTTCCTGTTCGTCTCGGAAGCTGCGGTTGTCTTTTGAAACCATAGGTTCCTCTTCACTCAAGCTGCCCCTGATATTCTCTGACTAGACAAAGGAAGCTTTTGCTGAACCAAATGGAAAAAAGGTGCTTTCAAAAGAGACCCAAACCCTGGACGATATCTTGATGGTGTAGGTGACAGTCACCGGTCCTTCTCGCTCCTCTGGCAATTTTAGGATTTCAAACATCCGATTAAGAATTTGCATCCATGCATTTAAGAGAAAATGTGACCAGAGCCCAGAGGCTGCACATTTTTCTTGGGAAGACTTGGGAAGGAAAACTGTTCAGTGTAACAGAAATCTTAGTGCCATTAATGTCATTAAAAGAAATCAGTCTGTTTTGTGGAATTAGAGAATAGTTTGGTTCCATATTTTTAAGCTGCTAGTGTCATCTAAGATTGTCCATTGCTAACTGTTGGAATTCGATTAATAGCATAACATTATCTGCTGGTGTATACTTTCTGGTGACAACTACTGCATGGGCTGTTCCTTTTTTTATCTTTACCAAGTATTTCTATTATTGAAGTAAATACTGTAGTTAGTGCTTAAGCCTGAGTGCTCAATTTTAAAAAATTACTAGGAAGGTAATTGCAAAGCCATATGCAATTACCCTACTACTAGGGTAGTAGGGGAGCTTTCTGGTGTAGTCTCAGAAGTTCTGTCATCCTAGAGAATAGGAAAGGTGCCACAGGAAATGATTTAAGGTTGCCAAGATCAGATTGTGTCTTTAAAATATACATATTGGACAACATGTCTGTTCTGCCCACCCCAGATACCTTCAGCCTCATAGAGCCTTTATGTAACCTAGGGGAAATCAAAGTTTCATCTTGGAGTTAAAAGATGTGTCAGGAGAACGTACTATGGAACACTTTATTCCTTCTTTTTCACCATCTCCTATCTATACTTTACTTGTTCATGAAGGTTTGATTTAACCCACCAAGTTACACTGATTCAAAACAACGCTCTACTATTTGAGTTTTGGAAGACAAGGAATGTGAGCACTGCAAAAAAAAAAGGTGTGCAGTTCTGTTTGTAATCTGAATTCTTAGCATCCGGTAGATCACTGATGATCGTTTTCCCTTTAGATCAATGAGTGGTCTTAAGCAGGTTATGGGGCACATGCCAAACCATGGTTAAGGAAGCTTTGTTTGGCTTTTGGTCATGCCGCTGGTCTGTGAATATTCATGCTTGCAAAGAGTTTCCTTATCTATTCCTTGCTATTACTGACTTTATTTTCTTAGTACCTCCAAGGATGAACTTAGAACTCTGTTGTTCTGTCAATGCTTCTGTGAAGGATGTTATTAGTCCACTTCTCTTTCTGTGCCAAGTGTTGCACCTTTCTGGGGCGTGGTATAGAACCACCCATCAGACTATGGCTCTCCATGTGAGCTGTTTGTCTGGCACTGTTGAATTAAGTTTTGCTTTGCATCTTATGTGGCTCGGTTCTTTTCTGCGTTTCCATGCATTAGAGCCATGGAATACTTATTTATTTAAGTCTTCGTTTTTCATTGCAGTCCTAGCCTTTATCTTGTATTCGGGAGAAGGTTGCTTTTCAGGAGTGTGTTGTTTAGACAATAGGCTAGCATATGCACATGTAGCTTGTCATTTCCTCCCTTCCTTGGTCCAGAGGTTCTGCTTCTGCTGAATAATTCTGCATTCAGAATTCCAATCCCCTCTCCCTTCTCTCAGGGTGGCCTTCAGCATATAAATCTAGGATAGCCTTTCTCAACCTGTGGGTCCCCAGATGTTGTTGAACTACAACTCCCATCACCCCTAGCTAGCAAGGCCAGAGCTCGGGGATGATGGGAGTTGTAGTCCAACAACATCTGGGGACCCACAGGTTGAGAACCGCTGATCTAGGAAGTAAAATGGAAGAGACCGAATGCAAGAGACAGAACGGTGCCTGGGTACCAGAGGTTTGGCTAATAATCAGTAGTTTTCCTAACTCAGTCCATTCCATGGAATCCAGATCTCCATGGTCTCAAGCAAAGTTCCTCACCATTCTGTTGGCTATTTGCAGTATAGTAACGCTGCAGGGACGCGGGTGGCGCTGTGGGTAAAAGCCTCAGCGCCTAGGGCTTGCCGATCGAAAGGTCGGCGGTTCAAATCCCCGCGGCGGGGTGCGCTCCCGCTGCTCGGTCCCAGCGCCTGCCAACCTAGCAGTTCGAAAGCGGGTGGGTGCAAGTAGATAAATAGGGACCGCTTACCAGCGGGAAGGTAAACGGCGTTCCGTGTGCTGCGCTGGCTTGCCAGATGCAGCTTGTCACGCTGGCCACGTGACCCGGAAGTGTCTTCGGACAGCGCTGGTTCCCGGCCTCTTGAGTGAGATGGGCGCACAACCCCAGAGTCTGTCAAGACTGGCCCGTACGGGCAGGGGTACCTTTACCTTTACTTTACCTTTAACGCTGCAGAGAACTTGCTGGGGAGACCATGCATTAAAAAGGGACTCAAAACGTACTTAAAGAATGTTTTAATAAGAAAAACAAAAACTCCATTTACACTAAATACATCAACAAACCAGACCCAACCACCAACCCATCCCCCAGGGTAATGGGAGAGCTAGGTGCTGCTCCTTATATACGACACCCAATTGCTGACACAGCTTAATCAATACAACTCAGCAGCACCTGCTATGTTTCACAGCTGTAAAGCTGGGTCTCGTTATTTTGCTCTGGCCCTTGCTCTGGCCCCTTAAAGACATACACATCGGGTGGAGCAATGATGAACATTTAAACATTTAAAGAAACCATTCAACACATTCAAGATCCAGGGACTTTGTTTAAACACATTTCATAGAACATAGGATGCTGTTTTATACCACATGAGTCTGTTGGCCCATCTAGCTCATATTCTCTCCACCAACTGGCAGCTGCTCTCAAGTGTTTCACACCAGGTGACATTCCCTGGCCTATCTGGAGATTGGACCTGGTACCTTCTGCTACAGAGTCATGGACCTTCAGCTATTGGTTACTTTCTCTGGCCCTTATCCCTGTAACAGGGATTTCTTGGGATGATGATGATTGAAATAGGCCAGTACTCTGCTCCTCCCCACATCCTCTGCCTAATTTATTATATCACACAACATACAATCATGGCAGAAAACCACAGTCCGTTCCTCCCCACCCCCACCCTGCAATCTGCAAATGTGGTTCCTTACCATCAAAGGCAATGTCCTAACGGAGGGCCTTCTACTTTTACCACTAAGACGTGAGTGGCAATACAGGGCGAGTTTGAGCAATCCATGGAGTGAAAGAAACCAGGGTTGGCTGCAAAATCCAAACGTGGTAGATTGGCACGTTGGTGGGTACTTTTCGTGTACCCTGCGTCTTATGTAAATAAGATTATCAAACACTTTTGAGACAATTAAATGCAGATGGTTAGACAATGAATTTCAAGAAATTAGTAGCCAAATCAGGATAGTGTCTGTGCAGGTTTGGGGATGCTGCAGTGTGGACTGCCAATGGCGACTTACTTCTACCACCTGGCCAAACCGAATCAATGCAGGGTATACACACTAGCGAGACTGAATGTGCTGCCATCGACAATACTACAGGGGAGAGTCCAGAAAATACCGCTTGCAGAGAGACCATGTCCCTTTGGACAGAGTTGTATAGAATCCGTTGTGCATGTTCTTTTGCACTGCCCCTCGTATCAGAGAATTCTATCTTAAGTTCATTAATCAGTTGGTTATTAGCAGAGAGTAGCATTTAGATGAATGTAAAGTAGCCTTCCTAATGTTGACCCAGGACAGGCATAGGATGGAGATAGTAGCCAGGTTTCTGCAACAAGCAGTGAGGATCCGTGGATATTATACAACAGTATTGTAATTGTTAGATGAGTGGTTTTCTTGTACTGAACCTTTGGGAATGTTGTCTATATGCCAATAAAGGTTTGAGAATGATTGATTGATTGACCTTTAATGGGTGTTACAGGAACTGTTCTCCAGCGGCTAAGATGCCAACACACGAGGATAGCAGATCTACCATGATTTATGTTGAACTACTAAGCACAGAAGGAGGCACAAGTCCATTACATGGTTACTTAGGAGATAAATTCTAAAGCCCTCATTATTTTGCAAGCAGGGACAAACCCGATCTCAGTTTACTGTCCTCGCTAGCCGTGAAATTTCACACAGGCACAAGCAAGGATCTGAAATGCTCTTCAGCGTACCGACATGTTGGCTTGAAATACAAGGAGGCTTTTGTCTGTCTCTGTACATAAAGTACGGGTTCTGCACTGCTG